GATATCCACCAATCAGCCGTGCACCACTCAGCTTTGTCCTCCTCCGGCCTTGCATAAAACCTGCCGTGCACCATCAGGCCTCAGATCGAATATGAATTCCGGGCATCGTTAAATTACGTGATTTTACGTCCATCGCATCTGAGGTTATAGGTTTCAGATAGCATAGTTCTGTTCCAAAATGTATCGTCCATCGACGAGTGGCCGTTCGACCGAGGGCTGGTTCGACGCACGGCCTAGATACGGACGGCTTGAATTGTTAAAGGCTACGTTCCGGAAGGCAGGAATCATGATGGTCCATTACATCCAGGGCAGTGGTGGTGGTCCAGGGCGACCCATACATGCCAGAAGACATGCCTTGCAATACTCAGGATGACCGTTGAACTTTAATAATAATTAATAATCCATCGACCACATCATATTTCATGCTATTTTAACCATCAAAGTAAAGATTATAATAAATAAACAGGTAAACCATTTAAACCCAGTTTTTCAATTGTTTAGTAGACTGATTTTGATTTTATTTTGTGTGAAATTTTGGTTTAAATAATTTAAAATGGTATACATGTTTTATTTTTTAAGTTCACCAGCGTTTTGTTTGGCCTCAGAAATGCACGACTAAAATAAATTTCTGATCTCGGTGATATCCTTTCACGATCGCCATTGTGAATGCACATTCACACAATCTAAAATTTAAAATAAATCTAAAATTAAAAATAAATATACGATGTTCATATATAAATAGAGCTACAACACTGGCTGTGAGTTCAATGTTTTTTCATCGCCAATTAAAAATTTTTTGTCATTGTGTTTAAAATCTAACAAAAATGGAACGATGGTATAGTCTGAAGCAGGTTTCTCTACAGTTATTGAGGCTCTTCAATTTGTTCAATCTAATGCTTTTGATCACCACCGCAAATAAACAGAATATTTTTCTAACCGAATTGTGTTTACTTCCAACAAACTCTTGTGTTCGACGCAACAGAGACCGATTGTCAGGCGTCAAGGGACAAGCGATCAAAACAATGCGATGAGAAATGTTTTTAATCAACGGGTGTCATGCTAGTGCGAAGCCTCAATATTTGGAACCAATTAATAAAAATGATAAAAAAATATAACACAGTACTCACTGCAGTGAGTGATAGAGAGCGCATTTTCTCATCCGTCCGATAAATGCACTATTGTGCTCGCAATGTCCGTCTGTCCGTCCATCTGTCCGTCCGTCCGTGACCTCAAGTTTTCGTCGACGAGGAAATGCGCTCAGTGTCACGGACACGGACAAATACGGACATGAAGTCACGGACGGACATGACGAGCACAATAGCGCCATTTTTAACGCATTTTCTCTTTATAGAAAAAATGCACTATTGTGCTCGCCATGTCCGTCTGTCTGTCTGTCCGTCCGTCCGTCTGTCCGTCCGTGACTTCACGTTTTCGTCGATTTTAAGAAACGGGCATGCCTGTATCAAAGATACCACATCTCTAGCTCTAATGCACTGTACTTATCGCAATTAAAACTGATTTATGCACGAGAAAATACGCTCTCTGTCACTCACTGCCGTGAGTACTGAGTAATATTTTTTTTCATAAATGAGAAATGCGCTAAAAAGGTTCAGAAATAGTTATCATTGAAACTACGTTGAAAGCATTGTCGTTGAAACCTCATCCAGGGATAGCGAATGAAACTTCGTTCTTCAAAACAGGTTGAAGCTTCGATCCAACAAAAGCTGCGTTCTGCAGTGCAATTAAATCGAGAGTCCCGTAAAAAAGATTTTAAGTTGTTCACAAGCTTAAAATATTGTTTCAAGAAATGATCGTTCCAACTAAATAAAAAAAAATAAAAATAAACATCAAGATACCTTAGCTAAAGAAGAATAAGAAGTACAAAAATTTAGCTCCGCTTACCATTAGTAAGTGAAATAAGTGTCATGTAAAATGCCCTGAAACCTATTAAAGATTCGTAATTTGTACTTATTTGTATTTACATTGATTCAATAAATCTAAATGTATTCAGCAAAGAATCTAAAGTTTATTGGATACATAAAAAATCTTTACAAAATCTAACTTTGCCTAAGAGAAATGGCTACGCATTATTACAATAATAAACAAAATTTTGTTATGCACTATACATGATGATGCATGTAGGGAGCATGATAATTTCGAAGAATCATAAATAGCATAAGAATTAATTTTTTTTGCATTTTTCGTTCGATTTCTTGCCTTGAGACATGAAATATGAGGATATGTTGAGCAAATAAACTCGCATATTCTATACGTACATATAGCATTTTATTCTAAATTATACCTTTTATATATCCGCTAATATTACCTTACTACAAGAACTGCTTTCGCCAACTCAAATTTAGTACAAAAGTTAAACAAATACAAATGTCTGAGCCATGACTTCAGATTACCAAATTTGTATTGATTTCAATACATTTGATCCACGTGTTAAGCTATCAAATGCAAGCAGTCTTATCAATAAGTCTTTGCATCCAGAAATTGATAAATTTCGTCATCTGGGGCCATATTTTCAAAACTCGCTAAGTGAACGTAAGTACTTACGCTCTATTTTACAACACTTCTCTTTAACTTCACTTCTTGTCTGTCTGTCTGTCTGTCTGTCTGCTACAAATCTTGTAATCAAAATTTAATACACTTCTACTTATCCTATCGATCTGAAATTTTGCACGCTTGTGTAAAGTTGGAGACAATGCATGAATCAAATGTCAAAATGAAAGATTTTAAAAATTAAAAAAAAAATTTGTTTTCAATATTAAAAAAATTGAAAAAATAATTTTGTCAGCTACAAATCTTATAACTGATATCTGACACTTTTTTACCTGTCTGATTGATCTGAAATTTTGCACACTTGTGTGAAGTCAGAGGCAATGCATGAATCAATTGATAGAATAAATAATTTTGAAAAAAATTATATATTAAAAAATTTATATATTAAAAAAATTGAAAAACTAATTTTTTGATTTGAAAATTAGATGAGAAATTCATTGTACATTTGTAAGATTGAAGACACTGGATTCTTTAGAAGTGTTGTCTTTAAAAAGTAATTTTTAAATGTATATTAATCTTGTCTATGATTGGTGGATTTTGCTTGAAAGGCCGTCAATGATTGGCTGATGAACTTACGATCTCTTAACTTTTTTTAAGGTATAGGCTCTGTTCTTCGAACATTCCCCGTCATATCGAGAAGATGGGACCTCCATTATAAATTCTTGCGTTGTACAATAGAATTCATTCTCTTTTCAAGGCACTCGACTGTTTTTGCGCTCAGGATGCTGATCTGAAATTTAGAATAGATAAATAAACGGAAAGAAGATGGTCCTATAATGGAACCTTAATTAAAAATGGTACAAAAAATACGAGTTATATTGTATATATTTATTTTATATACACTCTTATTTATGTAGATTATAAATACAAGTGCACCATAATCAGCGTATGTCAGATTCGAAAAATGTTCTCGTTAAATTATTTATTAAATTCAAACATATCCAATTAAATAATCAGGATTAAATTTTGAGGGTTCGGTTCTAAAATAAGTCGAGTCTGTGAATTTTCATGCATTTTCGGCTGTTCATATATATAACTTATAGAACAACTGAACCATTAAGCCAAATTAGTTAATTATAGCCAAAGTAGTTAATTAATTATGCTGCTTTATATTTATACTATATTCGTTCATCCTCAAAGTAGTTAAATATTTTCTAATGATTGATTTCACTTTCTATGGACAGAAAATCATCTAATATTACTTTATCAATCATTAATTTTCAAGGTCAAAGTAAAATAATCATTGATATAATAAATCATTAATATAACAAATAATTAATTGTATAGAACATTAATGTAAAAAAATGTATATAATAAATCATTAATATAACAAATAATGAATTGTATAGAACATAATATAAAAATAAATTGTTTACCTTCTGTTTTTGCAGCACTGCGATGAGCTGTTGTTGCTTCTCCTGAATCATTTGCAGATGTTTGATTTGTTGTCGCTGTTGCAGCAGCTGTTGCTGATGTTTGTGCGCTGCTGCTGCATTTTCTCGCTGCAACGTCTGCAACATAAATCGCTTATCACAAATGCTATTTAATTGGGACGATTTAATAATATATTTCAGTTAATAAATTACAAAATGTCTTCCAGTCCTTAAACGAAATAGTCCAACTGTCAGAAATGGTATTTAATTGGGAAGATTTAATAAAAGATTTCAGTCAAGAAATTACAAAATGTCTTTCAGTCCTTAAACGAAATAGTCCAACTGTCAGAAATGGTATTTAATTGGGAAGATTTAATAATAGATTTCAGTTAAGAAATTACAAAATGTCTTCCAGTCCTTAAACGAAATAGTCCAACTGTCAGAAATGCTATTTAATTGGGAAGATTTAATAATAGATTTCAGAAGTTAGGAAATTACAAAATGCTTTTCAGTCCTTAAACGAAATGTTCTAACTGTCAGAAATGGTATTTAATTGGGGAGATTTAATAATAGATTGTAAAAGTTAAGAAATTAAAAAATGCTTTTCAGTCCTTAAACCAAATGTTCTAACTGTTGATAAAGTTGAAGGATGTTAATATTAATAAATTATATATGAAATCTTAGCAAGTATAGGAAGCGTAAAATTTATGGTTGAAGTCATGATTGACGCGGAGCAATCATAATAATGATAATAAAAATAATAATAATATTAATGATATTAATATAATAATATAATAATAATAATAATAATAATAATAATAATAATAATAATAATAATAATATTAATAATAATAATAATAATAGTTATAGCGTTTATTAGGCCGTAGGCCTGTCGCCTATCTTCACATCGCAAAACATTCACAGCATTTTGCGGTATATATTCATTATAAAAGAACATGAATAAAATTATCCACGGTACTGAAACTATAAAATTAAATTATTCATGTTACTGAAATTTTTGACGTGAAATTATTCATAACGGAATGTTACTGGCAGAACTTAACCCAAAACTGACACCAAAAGCTTATCCCCATTAACTTCAACCTAGAGTTTACAATTGTAGTTTAAAAGTGAAAACAAAAAGTAAACAAACCTGTAGCTGCTGCTGCAGCCGCTGCTTGTCAGCTGCAGCAGCAGCCAGCTGACTGTGCAGACGGCGTAGTGCAGCTGGCTGCTCCTCAGCCACCTGAGCTGACGTCGACCGCCGCAGGCTGGACAGCTCCTGGAAACGCCATGGAAATTATCTATATCATCACCATCTTTCTAATACACACGTACCTATTTTTACTTCATTTATTATTTTCAGGGAAGGAATTGCAGGTATTTTTGCATAAAAAAATTATCTATATCATCACAATCTTTCTAATGCAGACATACAAATTTTTACTACATTTATTATTTTCAAGGAAGGAATTGCAGGTATTTTTGCATAAAAAAATTATCTATATCATCAAGATCTTTCTAATGCACACGTAACTTTTTTTACTTCATTGATTATTTTCAAGGAAGGAATTGCAGGTATTTTTGCATAAAAAATTATCTATATCATCACCATCTTTCTAATGCACACGTACCTATTTTTACTTCATTGATTATTTTCAGATGAAATTGCTTGCATTTTCCCAGAAAATATAGTGAAATTTCACCAAATCATAGTTAACGTATAATAATTTCTCAACTGAAACGTCTTTTATTACGGCAACTCTTTGTACTAAGAGATTAAATTCATTGCATTCGTTGAAATGTAATACTTCGGTACAAGAACAATACTAACAGCTGTTAAGCTGCGGTATTTCTCCAGCTGCAGTTCATTGATTCTTCATTGATTATTATCAGGGAAGAAATGGCAGATATTTTTGCATAAAATGTAGAAAAATATTACCCAATCACAGCGTACAAAAATGCACACGTACCCATTTTTTAATTGATTATTTTCAGTGATGGAATTGCAGGCATTTTTGCATGAAATGTTGAGAAATATTACCCAATCACAGTTAGCGTACATCAATTCACAACTGAAACGTTTGTTATTTTGTCAACTGTTCGTACTAAGAAATCAAATTCCCTCTATTCGTTGAAATGTAGTATAATAATTTCTCAACTGAAACGTCTTTTATTTTGGCAACTCTACTAACTCAGAAATTAAATTTTCCTGTATTCGTTGAAATGCAATACTTCGGTACAAGAACAATACTAACAGCTGTTAAGCTGCGGTATTTCTCCAGCTGCAGTTTGGTCTGCTCAGATGCAGCTGCTCGGCGCTGCTCAGCTGCAGCAGCTGCGTTCTTGGCTTGACGCAACTGTACAGCTGTTCGTCTGTACTTTGCTTCAGTCAGCTGCAGCTGCAGCTGCTGCTCTCGCTTCTCTTCCGCCTGTAGAGGGAAAAATAAGTACGGGAAAGGGAAAAGTTAAACAAGCAAAGGGAAAAATAAATACGGGAAAGGGAAGGGAAAAATAGCAAAGGAAAAATAAATACGTACCCCTGCAATTAACCGAATGTTATGAATGCGAAATACTTCATTAAAAAATTTTCAGCGATGAAATCATAAATAAATTATATTCATTAGCTCTTTCAATACATCTCAGAGACTCATATAAACTATCGGTTTGCACAGCACTCGAAGCAAATAAACTACGAAAAAAGCGATTGAAGAATCATTTTAGGGATAATTTGGTTAAATAAATTTCTGCGATTTAAAAAGCAGGCAAAATTCCTTCTCAATAGCCGAGCAGAAATAAACATTTTTTGAATAATTACAAATTAAACAATTATAATATCTAGTTATCCATTAGATCTCAAATTGACATTTATTTGTGCAATTTTACCTGTTTTTGATTAACGTATTTGAAATGCTCCAGCATCGTAAATTGCGACTGAATTTTCTTTTGCAATCCAACGATACGCAGTCTGCTTGTACGGTCGAGAAATTCATCCAGCAAAGAATTGCTGTCAGCGGAGTTGACGGATTCTGCGGAATCTTCATCTTTTTCTGTTACATTCTGAACGTCCGCATTCCCTGAATCTTTTCCCTTTGTTTCAGGCTGATCGGTATATTCCTTCAGTTCACCGCAAATATTCGAAGAAACACTTTCATCGAAAGTGGAAGTGGATGCACTGTATGTGGAGCCAGATAGTTGCATGTCACTAATTAGCCCAGCGTTAATAGAACTGTCACTAGATCCATTGAAGATATTATTGTCAATGCATTCATTTGGCGTGAGATTGCCGCTGAGTGCAGAAGATTGATGTGGATTGGTGAATTTACGTGGAGTGGTGAATTTATCGTCATTCGTAATGTTACCGTTAGCTAACATTTCCGGGTCAACTAAATCTCGGAATTCTGAAACATAACTTAATGTTTGCTTATCATTTTCGAATGCTGGAAAAATAGGGGAATTTTTTGTTACAACGCTGTAATCAAGCCCATTTTTCTGACTGGTACGTTTTTTTGACGTAATGTGACATCGATCCTGTTTCACATTTCCATTATTTACTAAAAATGCATTATTAGCGAGTCGTTCTTTACGCTTCCCTTCCTCTTTGTGAAGATTCTTATGGACTCGTCCTGATGCAGAAAAAATCTTTTGGCTGCTCTCCCGCGTTTTAAATTTCTGCTCATTAGTAATTTTAATAGCATTTGAATCGTCTTCATGATGATATTCTTTCCTCGTAGGAACGGCCGAGTTTCGTTGACTTATGCACTTGGTGAAGCTAGAATTTTTTATCACATCAGTAGGACTGGGATTCTTAGTGGGAGAATTATTATGATTTTTATATGGAGCTCGGGAGGAAGAGCTTTTTGTTAGCCCCTGCTTTGAGTCGCATTTGGGCCTTTTGATTTCTGAGATGGAATTTTTGTAAAGGTTATTTACTCCGTTACTTTTTAACATTTCTTCGCTATTTTCCTCTGTCAAAGTGTCAATGCTTTTAGACACGAAAATGTCAGCCATCATCTCGTTTGAAGTCTCTGGACACATATTATAAGTCACTGAAGTAATATTTAAGGTGCCATTTCCACCGACAGAAACGTTCTTGTCGTATTTTTCTTTTTCAATATTTGTTTTCATCCGCGCGTCATTAGCATGAGATTCGGATTCATCGGAAAAATTTTCATTTTCTTCGATAATTGCCCCTAATTCGCCGTCATTGGCCAACATAGGTCGGTCTTGTTCATTTTCTAAAATATCACTGAACTCCTCGTAATCAAAAAACCCGCAGCCTTCAGCAGCAGACTCATGAAGCGAGTCTTCGTGAACAAAGTTCACAGATTGTTCAGCTTCAAAAAAGCTACCAGCAGCGGAAAAACCGAGATCATCGCCTTGGATCTCCCTATTTTCTAGCTTATCTCCAATAAATAATTTTTCCGATGATTGTTCCTTCAAGTATGTAGCGAACTTCGATGAAAATTCCGTGTTGGCGATAGATTCTACGCGATGAGGCTCATAATGAGTTGTTTCATTATCGTCGGTCTCTGTGCTAGCTTCCATTCCTGAAAAATGACCCGCGGTTTTATCGACTTTTGCAGTCAAATGAGCGCTTGACATATCAACTTCTGCAGTTAAGAAAGCGTTTGTCTTAACTTCTCCTTCAGTCTTATTAGTGTCCCTCTTATCGACTCCTGCACTCAAATTAGCATCTTTCATAAAAGAAATATCTTGATTGTCTGCAGAAATTCCATAATATTTCTTCTCTCGGTGAATTTCACGTTCGGCTTTGATGACGTGAGTTTGTGAGAAATCCTCATAAATATCAATTCCAGTTTTCATAAATTCACTGCATTTATTTCCAAGGCATGCATTGACGCAAGAGTTCTCAAAATCCGCACGTATTCCGGCGAGCTCATTCTGCTCACTTACGAAGTTCATTCTCCCTCCAAAATCTTCAACGTATTTTTCAGTTTCCGTGAATAGGACTTTACTACTTACTAGGCTACGCAAATCTTCTGAAGCGCGCGAACTTTTCCTGCAAGTCGAAGTGTTCGAAGCGCCGGGCCTGAACCTGACTGGCCTTAGCTGATGTTGGATGTTCTCAGGGTGGCTTAACTTTATAGGACAGTTTAGAGGTTTAGGGTTGAGGTTGGAGGTGATTTTACGATTCTGAGCTTGCGCCTCGGCTGAGATTTTAGAACTATTGGGGAATGAAGAGTGGAGCTCGTGCAGTAGCTTGCATTTCTCACCTTTAGGGCTGTAGAGTTCAGTTTTGGGGCTTTCTAAGTCTTCGAGGAGGATGACTCCATTCTTGTTTGATGCTTTCGTTAAGCCCAGTCTATAACGTTTGGAAAAACTTAGCCTCTTTTCTGTAGTTTGTGTCCTCGTTGGTGAGGCCTTACATGAAGCTGTAGTGAGTGTTGCATCCATTCTCTTACGTTTTTAAGTTCTCCAATTTCAATAATTTTTTAATAAATATAAATCTTCTTATAGGCAGTCGCTGGTTTTCAAGTCTTAAATGCCATGTTCAAGCAACGCTAGAAACTGTTTCGTTTTTTAATAAATATTTCCCTCGTATCTTGGATACTCATTCAGGAATGCTGAAAGATCCAAGTTAAACTGAAAATGGTGGAAGCACTTGAGCAATCATTTGTTCCCATCATTTGAACACGCTGGATGACGACCATGCAGAGACACGCGAAGTTTCAACACCCCTTGAACTGTCGTACTAAATGAAGCATAACATAACACTGTAACCACACCGCTGTTCTCATATATTCATTTATAAGTTACAAGTCCATGAAGTATCACAGGATAAATATACACTAAATCAGTCTAAATGTACAGATGGATCTTCACAAATTGACCGCACTGTCGTGACGTCAACACAGGCAGTGAAACGTTGCTTACCTTACCGTACGTTACACGACGTAGGCAAGGCTGATATTGTTGTAGTAACGAGAGAGATTATTTGTCGTTAGCATCCAATGACTGGTCGTTAGTTGCCATAACAACCAAATGGCCTTAGGAAAGTCACCTCTTATTTGTTGGATGTTGACTCAAATGTGAATATATTTATCTGTTGTCGAGTTTGATCATAATAATATTCTTAAACTTTTAGGGGACAATTGACACTCCCTATAGAAAATTTACGTTTGATTAATAGTTTTTTCGGGAATCTTTGATGACCGATAATGTTGCCATAGGAACTTCCGATCAGTGGTTGTTTGTTGCTATGGAGATCATGGGTTTGGTCACTCGTTGCCATGGAGCCTCTCCCAACAACGGACTCTAGACTCGGCATGTCTTCCTTTAGAAAAAAATACATGTTTGATTTTGATGATAAACTCTCCGATACTTTGTAGAGTGAATTATTGTCATGATTATGTACGGTTTCACAGAAGTGATTTTTTAAGGATAACTCTTATCAGAGAGCACTGCCTCGTATCCCAAGGTTGAATAATCTGCAGTCTTGATAATACGATTTATCATTGCACAAACTTACGATGGGAATTTTTATCGAATTGAGAACAAAAGTCTCTGCACAGACCCGGGATTGAACCGTAGACCTTTACCGAATCGACACTTCAGCGAACTCGCCTGCGAACTCGCCTGCGAACTCGAAAGCAAAACCTAACTTCATTTTCAACTCAAACACCCATAAATCCGACAATAAAGAACGGATTTTATTCAAATTTGAAATATAAGTAGATAATATCAGTAATTTGTGGACGGAATTTTTTTCAGATTTTTACATCAATAACTTTTTTGTTAATACGGAAAACCTAACTTCATCTTCAGTGTCTAAATCATTGTTGATAGAATAGAATAGAATAGAAGTGTCGGCGTTGAAGAAATAGGCCCATGGCCTGTTGCCGATTCTTGAACTTTTTGTGACTTGATTCACAAGGGATCCGGCCTTTGGAACCCGATCTTTCCATAACTGACGATTGATTGAGATAGCTGCTGGTCAACAAACAACTGCTTCATCGTTTCTAAATCTAGGAACTCGAAAGAGCGTCTGATCAGTCCAAGTCGTTGATTGGCTTTATTAACTTGACCTTCAATATGCTTAGAAAATTTCAACTCATTGTCGATATTAACTCCTAAATCCTTTTCCGTTGTCGACTTCGACATCATCACTCTGTCGAAGTCGACTCTCTGTTGATGCTCAGCTCTGATTCTGTCAAACAAAACCTGAGATTTATCGACCGAAATCTATCAATGACCAAACGTGCTCAAATATCCATTTATGGAGAATTTACTGGTAAACATGATATTGAGTCCAATTTGATGACTATTCAGTTCCAAGAACTTAACTCGAAGTGTAGAGTTTATTATTAGGAAATCTACAGGAGAGTATGGCATGACAGTTTTCTTTGTCACATCAATTGGATTAATAGAAAATGAAGGTAATAACATCAAGTACTAATATAAAAATGTGAACTATGCTATGTAAATAAAATAGTTTATGTTAGTACTGGTATTGGTATAATATGTAATAAAAAACTAACCAAAAGTGGCAAAATTACTTTAGGCTTCAAATATTACAGTAGGTTTCATAGTGGAGCCGGAGTATTTGGAATCCCGACACCAGGGGCCACGGCTATAAACTAAAAAAACAGCGTTGGAACACACGCCGACACTTCTATTCTATTCAATGTTATAAATGTACGCTGCAAGTCAATTGTGCGTGTCAGGAGGCATTTATTAACATTATTATGACATTATTGTAACTATAATCTCTTCTCGAATATCATGTGACTGAGAGCTATGAGCTCAAATTTGAGACTGAGCGCTATGAGCTCAAATTCGAGACTGAGCACCATGAGCTCAATTTGAGACTGAGCGCTATGAACTCAAATTCGAGACTGAGCACTATGAGCTCAAATTTGAGACTGAGCGCTATGAGCTCAAATTCAAGATGCCAGCAGCCCAACTATTTATGCTTGGAACTGAGCTTACAAGAAAGTTTTTATGTCATAACGTCTTTTGAAATTCGGACAACATGCATGTAATTCTGTTGGTTTTTAAAGCCGGGCAAAATGTTATATTTAATGGCTAATTTTGAATCATTTCATATAAAATTAAAGTCACCTATAGGTCAGGGTGGCCCAGTGGTTAAAGTTCAGAGTACCAAGATTGGAGCAGAGAAGTGCGGGTTCGATCCCAGCTCTGTGCGCCAGTTTCTGGCCAGAATCGGCAAGGAGGCCGGGCGGTTAAGCACAGCAGAATTGTAGCAGTGAATTGCGAGTTCGAGACCGCAAAATGCTGTGAATGTTCTGCGATGGTAAGACCTGGCGACAGGCCTACGGCCTATTAAACGCTGAAACCGCTGTTATAGGTCATTGATTTTAGTTACTCACATGAAGCAACCTAACAAAAAATTGGCAAATCACCATGACTGGCAGAGGCCGCGCCAGCATTGAAAGTCATTATACGGTATGCAAAAAATGGAACGAATAAAGAGCTCATGGGCACTTAAATTTTAAAACATTGAGATGTGAAAGTCATCTGGACATGAACTCGAAAATTTGTTTTATGCGGTTATGGGAAACTTAATTAACGATAAAAAATAACGATTTAGTAGGGGTTTTGATGGCTTAGACTAATTTAATGTATGGCTTTGGTACAGACTCATGCAGCTGCTACGAAGC